AAGAAGAGACTTATCACTCTGTCCGTATGGCTAAGAAGAGACTTATCAATCTGTCCGTACGGCTAAGAAGAGACTTATCAATCTGTCCGTACGGCTACACCTACCGGCTTCCCTCGAACACAACGCACCCTCTTCATGAACGTATATACAAGCTATAAGGGAGCGTACAGCAAGACCGAAATATTTGCCAGCCACCACAACGGGCCCTGATCATGAATGTGAATGTATTCAAGCTATCTTTCCGGTCATATGCAGTCATGATGAGCATGCGTTCCCAGCAGTCGGCACGTGCGGGTCCAAATCCATTCCACTCCTCTTAAGTTGGCCAAAGCAGGACCGCTGAGCTAAGGTCATCATGTGTATGTATTGGGCCTCGCTGCACTACTCTCGAAATGTGCAAAACGAGAGTGAATCTTCCACTAGAATACGAAAAGATACACCGCCATCAGTTTTGTCTGTTGAGAGTAGTGCAGCGAGGCCCATTGTCCCACAGAGAAGAAAACCAAAACGGAGCACTCAACCAACGGGCTTGGCTCAGTTGATACACCCATAACTGTTGAAAAGCAGACGTGAGTTCGGATTCAGATGGAATATGTTGAATGAATTTCTGAATTACCTAGGGCCAGTCAGTTTTTTTTTTTTTTTTTTTTTTGGCAAAAGCTCATTCATATTATAACCAGTCAGTTTCACGATGGTATCTCAAGGCTGCCGCCGTTTTCTTAAAAAAACAGAAGAGGAAAGAAGAGGAGAAAAAAGAAACCGAAACGGAACCCCGGTAGATAAATAAAGGCTCCTAACTCAATGTGAAATCGGGGCGGGGGGGGGGAAGGGGGGGGGGGGGGGGGACGGAAGGGCTCCTATTTACCGGAGGACCCTCTGGGATGAGAACAGGAGAGGCCCCTCGACGTCAATTGCGTGATTGCGTGTCGATAAATAACCCAGGAAATAGGTGCATTCTTTCCTTTTTGTCATTTCTTTTTGAAGACCAGTTTCGGCCTACTAGGAGAAGTGATACGAGCAACACCCCCTACCGTCTTCACCCGAACAGAAAGCCCGGTCATTATAGCCGTACTTGGGACAACTTTCGGTCCACATGCAGCAATAATGACCGGGCGTTCTATTCGGGTGAAGACGGTAGTAGGCTCCCTGCAGTCACCTGCTGGAAGGAAATAGGTGCCACTAATTAATGGAAATGGGTGCATTCTAGATGGAAGTACACACACACACACACACACACATATATACATCATATAGGTGTGTGTGTGTGTGTGTCACAGTGTGTGTCAGAGTGTGTGTGTGTGTGTGTGTATCAAAGCTATACTCACGCACATGACGACTTTCTGGAGTGCACGTGGCCATAATGGCAGGCAAATACATCACACCAGGTCCTACCGTAGTGTGAGCATGCTCTACACACTCGTACACAAAAAACAGAAACACCCTCGTACAAGGACCCCGTGCAACAAATGGTAGATCCCAAAACGAAAAAGAACTGGTCAAAGAAACGCCATGGGTTCTAGAGCATACTCGCACTACGGGAGGACTTCGGGGAATGTACTTGCCTGTCGCTCTGATGTGAGTGCGTATGGCTGCAAGGACCTACCTAGGTCTGATTGCAACTGGGAGGAGAAAAGTCGGGCCTGGTTGTGCCAAGGACGGGGGGTGGCTTGAGGGGGGGCGGGGGAGAGGGGGGGGGTAGGGGGAGAGCGCGAGAGGACAAGAGAGGGAAAGAAACTCGGGGCATGGATGACCTTTCGACCAGTTGACTTCATGGCTTTGGACAATAAAGCCGGCGGCGTGATGGGTTTCTCGTGTACAGCCACGTGGAAGACGTTCCATGTGGCCTCTTATCACTGTTTGAGAGTCCTTGCAATTAACATAATTCCCCGGCGCTCGCCCTTTCCCCCCTTCCCCCCCCCCCCCCCAAAAAACAAAAAAAAAAAACGCAAGACAGCGACACGCATGCTCGTGCTGCATTCCAAGTGGGACAGAAAGAAGTAGCCACGCGGCAATATGACTTCGTGAACAAGAACATGTTGATTGATTGGCCAACAGGTTGATTGATTGATTACTCCATCGAACAAGAACATGTTGATTGATTGGCCAACAGGTTGATTGATTGATTACTCCATCGATCGATCGAGTGATTGATTCCTTGGGTGATTAGTTGACTCGCTAATTCATTCATTGGCTGATTCAACATATGGGCGGGGATTGTGTGATTGATTGTGTGATTGATTGTGTGATTGATTGTGTGATTGATTGTGTAATTGATTGTGTTTGCGTGGATAGACTGGCCTCTGTAGTCGTCCTTCAGCAGATTTACAGTTTACAGTCTGTCACTTTTACCCCCTCGGCCAGAGGAAGGAGGAGCCTTTGACAGATGGACGCATTGGATTGGACGAGCTTACTGATTGATTGACATGTCGTTGATGCCTTCGTTTGGTTCGTTCACTTCTTGATTGCTTGATTGCGTGATATGAATATAGATATGCTGGATTGACAGGTTGGTGGGTTGACAGGTTGGTGGGTTGTCTCTTCTGACTCTCTTCACTTCATCTTCTGATTGCCGATTGGGCGGGTGACAGGTGCATGGATTCGCTGCTGAGCTGCAGTGGCAGACACAGAGAATAGATGGAGCAACCTCCTCCTCCTCCTCCTCCTCTCCTTTCCTCCCGCCCAATGTTTAACCAGTCAGAAGCTGCCTTCGTTGGGAGAGGGAAAGGTACGGTCTTCACCCGAATAGAACCCCCGGTCATCATAGCTGTACATGGGGCAACTCGCAGTCTAAATATAGCTACCATGACCGTGCGTTCTATTCGGGTGAAGACGGTAACGAACGGGATAACACAGGAAGAAATTGGCGGGAAGGATGAATTAAAACAAGCACACACACACACACACACACACACACACACACACACACACACACACACAAAAACAATCACACACACACACACACACACACACACACACACACACACACACACACACACACACACACACACACCATACAACAGACACATCATACAACAGACAAATCATACAACAGACACATCATACAACAGACACAACGCAGCCGTACCTTGCCGTGGTCCACGTGTCCCATGATGGTAACAACGGGAGGTCGATCGACAAGATCCCCCCCCTCGTCGTCGATATTGAAATCGGCGCGCTTCTTCGCCAGATCGCCGACACTGACCTCATCTGCAGTGATTATCTCCACACCGTATTCCTGGCAGACCATTTTCACAGTCTCCTCATCAAGGACCTGATTAACCATGGACATGACTCCCTTCAAGAAGAGAGTCTTGACTACTTCGGAGTCGTTGACAGCCAAATGATGAGCCAGGTCAGCGACGGCCATTCCCTCCTTCCCCACTTCCAGTATCTCTACGCGCACAGGCGCGGCAGCCTTCGCTGCTTCCGCCCTCTGGCGCGCTTTATCCGCTTTCGTCCGCTTCCGCTTTCCCCCCCCCTTCCTCTTTTGCCCCAGCAACCCCCCCAGGTCCGGAATCACTCCCTCTCCCACCTCTTCTTCCATCTCCAGATCGACGTCTTCGTCGTTCTTCGCGCCACGTGTCGCCACCAAGCTCCTCCTCCGCGGTCCCTCCCCCTCATTCTTCTTCCTCCAATCCTCCCTCCCCTTCGCTGGCGCTTTCCTAGAGACCCCACCCGAAGGCGGCGGAGCGGAGGCCGCACTCTCTACAACCCTCCTTGTGTCCACCATTCCTCCCCTCGGCAGCACTCTCCGCGGACGGTCCGCCGAGCCTCCTTCCAACCCTCTCGCGCCGCCCCCCTGCGCCTCACCAAACCTACCACCGAGCCTGACATTCCCGCCGCTTCCAGCTTGCCGAAGACCTTCCTCTTCTCTTGTCCGTACAGGTGATCTAGCCGTTGGGCGGTCGAGACGCACAGGTCGGTCAACGGGTCTAGGCCTCGGCCTTTCCACCACCCGCGCCTCCCTTGCTCCATTCGCCCTGTCAGGAGCACCTAGCCCGCCCACCCGATGCACTCCCCTGCCCTCCGCGGTTCCTCCCTCCACTTTCTCCACCCTCCTGCCGTCAACAGCGGCCCCACTGCTTCTCTGGGGAGGATTGATCCTGTTCCCTGTACCTGGTCTGCTGATACCCAGACTGGAGCGGTCGATCTTCAACGGGCGGCGGACGGCCGCTGCGCCAGCGCCGCTGTCCGCGCCGACGCGGGCGTCCGCTTCCGACGGGTTTCTCAGGCGCAATCGCGGCCTCGAGGGAGCTCCCCCATCCCTTCCCTCCTCCCCGTTGACACTTCTTTCCCTCTCCTCCGCTCCCGCCGCCCTGATGATCACGCGGGAAACCGGCGCACTTGCCAATCCCTCCCCTGGCCGCCGCACCCCCACTCTCGAACCCACGTCCAGCCGTGACCCCTTAAGCGCCCCTTGCAGCGCTTCCCCTCCGACCAGCGCCCCCCCCTCACTCTCCCTCGACTTCAATGTCACCGCCGATTGCGCCAGTATCACCCTGTCTGACGCCGATAACGAGGTCTCGGAGAGGGCATCCGATGACGCACTGGCGCGCGTCCGCCACCTGGACTCCTCCCCCCAGGCAGCCCGCGGGCACGCTACCAGCGCATCTCGTAGCCACGTGGCATCCTTGCTGTTCTCCGCCGTCAGCGTCGACGAGCCGCACAGAAACGACCCCGCGCTTGCAGGCGGAAGCCCGTAGACCCGCACCCGCGCAATGCGCCTACCATAGCTGTAGCATGCGCCGCGCCTTGAGACTGATGACTCGCTCCCTTTCCCCCCTCCCCCTCCTCTCTCCCCCCTCGCTCCACCACCGCTGCTAAGAGAAGATCTCCTCGAACTGCCCCGTGCAGCGCAACACCCGCCCCAGATTCCGCAGGAGACGACTGACAGAGAGCGGCGCGAAGGCGAAGCGGCGCAGAGCACGCTCCTGACGCCGGTGCGCGCCGAGCCGCTGCAGCCGCCGCCGGCGTGTCGCTCTGTTGACTGCAACAGAGCGCTACCGGCGGCGGTCCTTGCCACCACTCCCGTCGAGGTCGCGGCGCCCGAGGCGGACATTGTGCAAGCCGCCATCGCCGCCGCAGGAAGAACGTGCGGCGCGCCGCGCCGCGCGTCGGGACTTGAGACGCAAGCCCACGACGATCGAGAGTTCCCAACCGCCGTCGCGCGTTCTCAAGTCGTACCCGTTGTTTGCTCCATACACATGGCACGCCTCGTCGTGTCGCACACAACGACGTCGCACAATTCAAATCGTCGCTCGCGCAGCCGGACGCAAGGTGCCTGCATGCAGGGCGAAGAACGACCGTACTCCCCCCCCTCCGCTGCTGCGTTCGCACTCTCGCTCTACTCGTCCAGCAGCGCAGCTGCACTCGCGCCCTCCGCCGCGCCACTAGCAGTGGCCAGCTATGTCAAAGCTGAAGATGGGAAAGGAAAACCAGGAGCTTCTCTGATGATCTCCGCCCTCGACCAATCACACTATCTACATCATCTCTCTCTCTCTCTCTCTCTCTCTCTCTCTCTCTCTCTCTCTCTCTCTCTCTCTCTCTCTCTCTCTCTCTCTCTCTCTCTCTCTCTCTCTCTCTCTCTCTCTCTGTGTGTGTGTCTGTGCGTAGCATGCATGCAGGGGCTAGAATAGGCATGTACCTGCACGGTGACCTGGATTGAAACGGCAATTACCTACTACCGTGAGACGTGGCACCGATTTGCCAGAAGGAAACGATACCAACTCCACGTCGACTTTGACCACGAACTCACGTCAATAACCAAGAGATCAACAAATGGCTAATTGCGAAGGCCATGGACGCACGCATAGCTCGAGGACGGTAAGCGCAAGCTGGCTGGCTGCCACGCTGCTAGTATGCATGGCTCCCTCCTCGTTCCTTCGCGCCGCACGCCCACGCGCACGGGCCTCGCCTACCCGCCCCTCTCCCCCCTGCTACACCGGCAGGTCGAACTATGGCCGCTGGTTCCCGTCGCGAAGAGATTCGCCAGGTCCGGCGACGGACAGTCCAGCGCTAGACCAGCCCCGCCAGGCAAGCGGGCAAACGCTGTGCTATCCACAACCCCACAGAAATCCACTCGCGCTACCGCCGGTAGCCCTCTCGCTCTGATCTTCCGCGCGCGCGCGCGGAAGCGGAAATCGCCTCGCACTACCGCCGGTAGCGTTCTCGTTCTGATCTTCCCCGCGCGCGCGCGCGCGCACGCGAGGGTGACATGGCGCGACCGGCTTCCTCGGCGGGTCTACGCCCACCCATCGCACTGGCTGGGAGATTGGCGGTCTCTCAACGGCGACAAGCGACAGGACGTTTGCTCTTGTCCGCATTTCTCCCTAATCCAAAATTCGCCAGTTTTTCAAAAACAAAAGGCGGGTTTTACTGTGTTCATCTCACTGTCGGCGCCGGATTCGAGCCTCTTACGCGTTTATTGACATGTGGTCGAGTGTCCCCCTTTTTTTCCACTTTTATGCTGGGCAACAGGGGCCGTGCTAACGTTCTCTGTATCCAGTCTTTTCCTTTGTTTCTGAAAGGGCGACGGCCTTGAGATATCGGCCTGGGGGGCCGAACCGACGCGTCTCCGCCGGCGCTACGCAGCGCTCGGACCAGGCGCGGACCAACGGCAACGGAAGGTGTGCTACCGGTAGGTCCCGTGGGCTACCATCGAGATACTTCCGGGATAGAGATGGCGTCAACACCATGCTGCTCCGCCAGCTGGTCATGGCCATCAGGGTCATGCAGATTCCATAGCTACCATAGCAACGGGAAGGCCCCGAAGGAAGTAGGAAGTAGAACGAAAGCAAAATAGACAGTCGGTATAGGAGACTTTTATCCTCGTTCTAGCGTCAATTTGAGAGCTGCAGGAGGGTGGAAAATGCCAGAGATGGAAGATGAAGCAGGAGCAAGGGAGGCCAGGTCTCCTTTCCCGGTACCGGGAGGAGGGAACGAAGTCGATGAGAGGATCCGGGAACTAATCCATCTGTGCTATGAGGAAGGGATTATGCCAACTGATATTGACTCAGGCGAGATGACGGGAGAGAGACGACAAGTCAGATTCAAGGTCAACCTATTCATAGACCAGGCAAAAGTCAATTGGTTAAAAGAGCACACGGTGACGATTATTTTTTGGGAAGGCGCTAGATTCTTACCGAAGAAAGTGAAGGATGATATCGTTAGGGCTTACGAGGACCGGAGAACTCGTGATGGGACCTTTGACCCATTCACGTTCCGAAGAGGAAGGGTGACAATAGAGAGTCCAAATGGCATCTCGTACGTGGCTAAAAGCAGGGAGATTACCGAGTGGATGCAACAAAGGAAGAGATAACATAAACCTGGCTATTACTGAATACACGCTTGAGTTTAAGCCATGGCTTATGAAGGCACAGCTGCGAGCACAGCGCCAGCAGGAGGATGAAGCCACGTTCTAGGTTATTGCAGTGCAGGTCCCACTTGGAGCATACCTCTACCTGGAAACCCACGTCCGAAGCGCAATTGGGCCCGTGATTCATGCTCACCTGCTAAAACCGGATCGTATGAAGCCTTCGCTCATTAACATTAAATTCGATATCGACCTGGCATCCCGTCCTAACATGAAGGACAAAATCTGGGTCGACACTTTCGAGGCCAATTCATTGGAGGTGAAGCTCGCCTCATCGGACACACCTCGGTGTCGTCGATGCCGAGCCTTTTCCACATGGATGCGGACTGCAAAAGAGGAGGATAACACCCTCAAGCGACAGAAAATCAAGGGCAAGGTTCATAGCAAAACACAGCGGAACAGCACCCACCACCCTGCTCAATGTATCAAGGCCCTGTAGGACCAAGACCAATCACACCGAGTGCCACCATCCACGATCCAAGGCCCCATCAGTTCGGGATGATACCGGAACCAAGACCTCATTCGCTTGGGCTTGTATCAGGCTTCAACAATGTGCAGTTAAATCCCTTGGCATCCCCAGCACTAGTGTCGAGTCAGGGAGGGTACCCTCCCTTGCAAGGGGATCCGAATGGACTAGGTCTCTGGAACCAACTGCCGTCGTACCTGCATCCAGCGTTTCAGCAGATGAATGGACAATACGGACCGGCCTTCATGCAATATGGCATGCCGCCAATTCATCAAGATTCGTCAGGGCTACTGGTGAGACCACCGAGAGGTGGAAGGGTTGGGTAATCCCGAAGGTGCAGCACCGGGTACGTCAACTCAGCAAGGTAATACACAGCCTGCATGCAACACTCCGCCGCCAGGTACGTCGCATGGCAAGCAGAGAAGACTTTCGTTCAGAGGAGATGGAAGTACAAGTACATTACAACCCAACATAGAACGCTCAGCAGCCTCGTCCCCGAGTACGGAATCGTACCATGAAATGCTATCTAGTGTTGGTACACCGGTACCAAAACCACTCAACGAAGAACTCCGGTATCACTGGCCAGAGGACAGGCACAGGAAGTAGACCTCAAAATGCTACCCCTCTTTCTCACGGCAGTTCGAAACTCGTTTTGGTTTGTAACTTTCACAGGGAACGACAGTCGCTCTGCGATGGTTAATATCCCCTCCCCGGATTTGTCGTTGCCAAGTGCAAATGCTACCTTAAGTCGCCATGCGATCGCAAATAAGTTCAGATTTCACTCAATCCCATATCTAAATATGGCTACATTGATTGTGGATAGCCCGATAGAGGCAGGAAGGAAAATTATGCCTATTTGTGATGTTTGATTCATTCCAGGTTAGTTTAAGAGTTTGGAGAGCGAAGGTCTTCGCCTCTTTCCCTTACAATGGTTGATTGAAAAACACACACTTTCTAAGTCGCATCTCGATACCTCTACTAAAATCGGCGGAGTGTATGGTAGTCGTGGAACGGAAGCTCCCCAGTAAAAAGAAGTTCAGTTCCCACTTTGTCCAATCCAATATGATGAACCCCTGGCCATCCCTCCCCTCATTTCACCAAGGAGGTGCCTCCTCATTGAATGGGTAGACTAACTCTTGCAACGTGGAACGTACGAGGTCTTGGGGACACTACGGGAAAACATTAGAAGGATCGAGTCAAATATGATTTATGGACTCGCGATAAAAATGTGCAGATCGCATATCTCCAAGAGACAAAACTAAGCGAAGACAAGGTTAACAGCCTAGGATCGAGTTACACGCGGTTTTCAAACAATTGTGAAGGAATAGGGATCCTAAGTCGAAGACAAGATACTCTTGGTGAAAATCTTTGTCAGACGCTTAGCTCACTATATGGCATATTTAGTGAAACCCGACCAAGCTGCTTTCAATTGAGGACGCTCAATCTTTGATAATATAGTAACAGTCATCGAAACCTTGCAAATCATCCAGAACGATAACCTTGACGTAACCGTGTTATTATTGGTTTTGAAAAAAACATATGACTGAATTAATTGGTCATATGTCCTAATAACACTTAAATTCATAGGCTTCAAAAACAATTTTGTTGGTTGGGTGGCAGTGCTATGCACATGCTCAACAACTTTTGTAATAGTCAATGACCAACTATCTCGGGAATTTGCTTTGACACGATCCTTACACCAGGGTGCCCTCTAGCCCCCCTGATCTTTGCGATTTTTATCGAGGTTCTATTGAATAATATCAAAACTAACCCTCAGATAAAGGGACTCCCATTTGGACCCGACACGTACAAAATCAAGGCTTTGATTGATGACCTGTTTGCAATTTATGAGAATACGATGACCTCAATGAGGGGGTTGAAGCAAGAATTATATGCATACTCACAACTCTCTGAATCCTCAATTAATTGGCACAAATCGGTCATCTTCTTGTCTAAATCCTATAGTATATCGCTAGAATGGGGAATGAAGTGGATTGACACTGGCCACTCAGAACGCTTTCTGGGCACAGACTCACTAGGTACTCTTGGCAGAGCGGATCCTAGCTAAGGAATGGAACCTGCTCACTCTGAAGGCGTCTGGACATGCCTACTGCTATCCTCATTCCAATATAGACAAATAAAATCTCAATTCTGGAAAGTTGTAGTCTAGGCTTTGAAGAAACTCATACCAGAGGTCTCGGTTCCTCCTACCACCAACGTCAAAATCTAGCCCAACCAATCTTTAAGAACCCGCATATCAAACTACCTGATGGAGAGTGGATGAAAGTAGATACCGCTCCAAACAGTCTTGGTCGGGCATGGATAGAACGAGGAATCTTAAGGATTGGGGATTTATGAGACGAATGGATTGGCACATGGTTATGATGTGGAACTCAGAAATACGTTGGGGCATCTCTTGTATATAGAGGAGCAGTAAAAAATGATTATTACATATAATTGTATATCGAAAGACTAGAAACACCCGCTGTCACCAGAAGCGGTGGATCCGCCAGACACATAGTTTGCCAACAATAAGGAGGATAATACCTCGATTTGGAAACTGATGAATACGAGACAAAACAATAAAATAATATTCAAAGGATGAAACTTGGGATCGAAAGGAAAGTTACGCCGGCAAGATTCGGATGCAGGCCTGGTAGTAGGAACTACCTTCCAACAAATTCGGAGCATGGAAACAACCAGCAAAAATGAGAATGTATCGGCCACACTCTTTGTGAAAGGAAAGCCGATTAAACAACTAAAACTTGATCGCAAAATGTGGGAATAGAGAGCTAAAGGTAAGAATGGGCAAAACGTTAAATTACTGGAATACAATCAAAGAGTAGGCTATGCTATAAGTCTACCATTGAGGGATCCGCTGACAGTCGCAAGAGCAAGATGGCAAGCAATCCTATCAGAGATTGATCAATAACTCATTCAGAATTAATTGGTGTCATGCTGGAAACAACTTAAATTGATCCCATGTCAACGACAGATTGCTATTCCTTGACTTCTATCGGTGGCTGCCACCCCCTCTGCAGTATGGCTG